TGTGCAAGCGCACGGACCTGAGTTCGATACCCGGTACCAAAAAAAAAAAATTCTCAGAAAGATATCCTCAAACTAATAGAAAAGAGACTGGAATTTAGGTGGTACTTGAAGATGACGGTAACTCTGTACAATTTTTATTTCATTTCACATGTACTTGCATATATACAAAGGGAATTTTAAAAAAAATCTCCCTGTGGAGGTGGAGGTGCCAGGCAGTATACACTGGCTAAGAACAGCTTTTAGAGTTAGAGAAATCTATTTTTGAAATGTGGCTTTCAATTTAAGCATGTTATTTAACCGCTGAATCTTCTATCTCTCAAGGGTAAAAAAGGGATAATAGTATATCACAGTGCTGTTGTGAGCATTTAACGAACTAATATATAAGCAGCATTTAGGGCAATTCCTAGTATAAAGCAAACTTCTAATTACTATTAGAAATTGCTACTAACAAAAATGTTTATTTGCATCTAATTGAGTAGTAACTTAAGCGGAGAGCTAGTTAAATGAAGCTTAGTTTTTCTTTTTATAGTTCAGACTCAAAAACTTACATTGACTTTTAACAAGTATTACACACTAGTTTAAATATAATCTAATATTACCTTTAAAAAAAAATGCTCATGGGGATTGAACCCAGAGCCTCATGTATGCGAGTGCCCTACCACTAGGCTACATCCCCAACCCCTAAATTAAGTAATTTAGAATAAATACAGTAAGATAGAGCTTGCTCCATGAAAACTTCCAATTAGCTTAAGCAGCTTCAATGAAGATTACTAGATTTTTCTGAGGTAGAAGAGCATGCATTTTCATTTAATGTAAGTAGTAATATGCTATATTTCTTATTCTTTGTTTGTAAGCTTAAAGGAATTCACTTAAAAGTTTCAATATGCAAGCACAAGCACCTGAGTTCGATCCCCGGTACCAAAAAAAAAAAAAATTTCAATATGCTTTTGTAGAGATTTTTTTATATTAAGGCATAAAGAGGACCAAACCTTATCAAATGCTTTTTCCGCATCAACTGATATAATCATAAACCATAATGTCAAAATATGTTAAAAGATTTTTTTATTCTTTAGTACCCGGGATTAAACTCAAGATCTTGCACTTGCAAGGCAGGTGTGGCACCACTGAGCTAAATCCCCAGCCCCTAAAAGATTTTTCTATAGATGAACCATCCTTGCATTTCTGGGATAAACCCCAGTTGATCATAATGTATAATTTTAAAAAACACAGACTTTCTTTTTTAGTGATCATTTTAATGGTTCATATTTATTGTTTAGTATGTGCCAGGCAGTATTCTACATTCTCTTTGTATGCATATCCCTTTATTATTATAAGAACTTAATGAGGTAGGAAGTATTTTTACCACTTTACAAATGAATACACTGAGGTACACAGAGGCTGAATAATTTGCCTAAGGTCGTAAGGAGAGTTACTGGTCAGGCCAAGACTCAAACTCAATCTGTCAGAAAACTGTATTGTACAATTCCTGGATCACCATTCAACACGCATAATGCGCTGAGCCTGAGACTGACACCACAGCCTTAAGCACGACAGTCCAGAGAAACACAAATTGAGTGTATACCCTGTGTGGAGCACTGAGCTAAGCACTACACATTTTGCAGAGCGATCTTGATGGACATAGGAACAAAAGCTATACTGTATATCTCGGGGGCCAAATTAATCTTTTGAAGTTGAAAAAATATCCATGTGGCTATTTAAGAAATATACTTGTATGTGGGTGTGTGTCTTCCAACATCAGATGTAAAAAGTTGTAACATGAATAGAAAAACCTTCACGCAGCTGCTAACAGGGTAAGGAAAGGTACATAAGGCATGCATTGTAGGATGGGGAAGGAGGACAGTGGGAAGGGCAAAGGCTGAATTTGACTGGTGACTTAGAACTTCAAGAGCAGGTTAACTTCTCTTGAGAGCAGTTATAGTGTAAAGATCAAACAGCAAATGTAGATTGAAAATGATTTCTATACTGAGGAAAAGTGGAACCATTTACATCTAATTACACATGGTAGGTACAGCCTACACTATCTGTCTTAATCTATCTTTTTTTTGGACATGGTCTTGCTACCTAATTCAGGCTGGTCTTGAACTATGTAGCCCAGGCTGGCCCCAAACTCAAAGGCAACCCCCTGACTCAGCCTCTCGAGTGCTGGGATTATAGGTGTGCGCCATCACACCCGGCTCAGTCTACACTATAAAAACCTACTGGGTTAGTGTTCAAGGACTATGAACACCTGCCAAAGGAGATCATTCCCAGCATTGTTTAAAGCCATATAAAGATAAGACTTTGAAGTCTCTTCAGAGTATACACAGTATCTAGCTTTTGAAGACAAATGGCCTCCTAATTTTCACCCTTCCAATTTTCTCTTCAAAATAAAAGTGCTTATTCTGACAGTAAGACTAGCCAGGGCTACCACTAATTTCTGTGGTGTTTCCTTAAGGCCATCAAGGACCTTAGTCATAAGCGAAATGATAAGAAGCAAAGCTCCAAGAGGCATTACTATTTAGAGGCTAATTCAGGTAAAAATTTAAAAGAAAGGATTCTGCAAACATCTTAATCTATTTAGTTTAAAAAAAAAGGCCTCTGCATCTGTAATCCCAGCACTCTGGGAGGTTGAGGCAGAAGGACTGAAAGCCTAAGTCCAGACTGGGAATTGTCTCAAAAAAGAAAAAAGGGCTGGGGATATAGTTCAGTACAAAGGTCCAAGGTTCAATCCCAAGCACCACCCTCGTCCCCCAAAAAAGAACCTTAAGTTTTTCTGCCCTCTCACCTTTATTTTAGAAAATTTGATATTCACTATTTTTATTTAATTGAAAACTCTAGGTTTTTAAAACTGACAGATTAAAAAATTTCTAAGAGTAAAGGATCACTTGCCTGGAACGCTCAAAGGAGTGCACAGTATTTTGGTGCTGTCAGATATTTTTGAACTGTTCTAGATACAGGAAGTCCTGCTCTCTCAGCTGCTATTCTGTAACTCTTTGACACAGAGGATTAATTAGCTGGCAACCATAAGCAATAGCTGAAAAGCCTCTAGAGATGAAAGGGTAGCACCAGGTTGTCTGATCTTCACCATTTTATTATTGGCTATCTTTTCTTTTTCTTCTTTGAGACAGGGTCTTGCTATGTAGTCCAGGCTGGCCTTAAACTCACAATCCTCCTGCCTCAGCCTCCCAAGTGCTAGTCTCATTATTGGCTATCTTTAGCCAGGTAAGATATACTGACTTGATGAAGTCTGTAAAAGAGGAAAATTATTTTGCTACTTCCAAGGATACATTTACGATGAGGTACTAACAAGTTAGTTTAACAATTCTGATACTGACTAATACACAGAACATAATGGATCTTGTTAGTTTATTCTATAATGTAGATTAAGACTTACTATATTATTCTAAGGGTGTTGAGGCACTGAATTATTTGATAGTTCTAAATACAACAGAAACATGTACCTGTCAGGGGACCCTCTCTCTGTTTGCCTTCTTCCCTCCCTCCCTTCCTCCTTTAGTGGTACTAGGCATCGAACCTAGGCCTTCACACTAAAGTACATTCCCAGCTTTTCTTAGTTTTTTTTTTTTTGGTACCAGGGATCGAACTTGGGACCTTGCACTTGTGAGGCAGGCGCCGGAACCACTGAGCTAAATCCCCAGCCTTTAGTTTTTATTTTGAGATAAGGGTCTTGCCCAGGCTTTGAGTGAATGTATGAGCCTCCTGCTTCAGCCTCCCAGAGTGGTGGGGTTACAGGCATGTGCCACCATGGCTGGCTATCAGGGAGCTCTTGAAAATATAAGCATATATTCTCTTTACTAGGCTGGCCTGGTCTTAGAAGAGAACACTCTCTTTGCCCTTTATGCCTGAAAATAGAAGTTCTAGACTTACTAGAATTACAGAGAGGGCTCTGTAAGGGGAAGGCAAGGCTTGGACCAAATATCTGGCTGGCAGCTCAAGAGGATGAGTATCAGTCTGTTATTTGCTACCATAAATCAGATCATCTAAGCGCCCAATTTAAAAGAAACCAAGGCAAAACCCAGGAAAATTTAATTGCCAGCTCATGAGTCTAAACCTTATCTGTTCGGTTTTAGCTTGGTGCTCCTAGGCAAGTATTCCTCTTACTTACTCTTCATGTCATTAAGCTGTTTTAAAGTCCTTATAAAAAATGCTGCTGAATCAAGAGTGGATGTAAAAAGCCATCCTGTCTTTCTCAGCAATGACTTGGCTGGCTGCAAGTAGTATCACTACAGATGCGGCAATTTGTCTTCATACTTTCTTTCTAACAATATTAACAACTGATTTTGTTAGTGGCAAAAACACAATAGCAATCTTTGGGCGTGGTGGTGTTCACATGTAATCCCAGCACTTGAGAGGCAGAGGCGGGAGGATAGTTGTAAGTTTGAGGCTAGCCTTGGCTCCACAGTGAGCTCAAGGCCAGCCTGAACTGCAGGACCCTGCCTCAAAAAACCAAAAACCAAACCAAAACAAAAAAAACTAAAACAAAATTTAAAAAGGCATAATAGCAATAGCTTCAAATTTCTCACTGAAGCAAGAGATAGCAGTGATACTGGCTTAGTATTTAGAAATGATATACATATACTTAGGTCAAAGCTCTGCCACCAATAACTTTTTCCATACATATCAATAAAGCAGGAGACATAAAGCCAAAGGTCATTTTTTAGCGAGAGTGCTACAAAATATGCATTTTTTCCTATGATATTGGGAATGACTACATTTTATTTGGTTTGGCAAAATTTGAACATTTTCTTCTTTAGGGCCATGATATTAAAAATACATAAAACCTACAATATGTCTGTTTAAAAACTCACAATAAATTCTTCTTTTAGTTGGGGATTTAGCTCAGTGGTTCCACCGCCTGCCTTGTAAGCACAAGGTCCCAAGTTTTATCCCCGGTACCAAAAAAAAAAAAACTTATAAATTGTTCTTTTAGAAGAGAATTCCTCCCCAACAGTTAGTAGATCCTCTTCCCCTCATTTTACCTGCTTATGAGGACCCCTGAGTATGTGTGCCTTAGCGCCTTCACAAGCTGTCCTCATCGCTTCCAGTGATGGTGTGCCCAACAGATCTGTGATCAAATCCAACTACAAGGAAACATGGAATAGAGATGGATAGATAAGCACATGAAACAGGCTTTTAATACCTTTAAATCACAGACTCAGAAACAAGGATCATATCTGGTGAAAAACCTTAGAGCAGGCAAGCTCTAGATTAACTAACAGGAGCCTCTACTTTTACTTTCTGGCCTATTAAACCAACCAACCAGAAAGGATATTTGTTAGGAATCCATGTGATTAAAAAGAAAAAAACAAAGTATGTTCTGGCAAGCATGGCATGCAAAGGCTAGAGCACTGCATGACCTGTTATCCTGATCCCACAGCATCTATGATCCTTGTAGAGGTGAAATGCTCTTCTCACGGTGGCTACTGATTGTAAATTTCAAATAGTTAATGAGTGGATTCTGATGCTTCAAATGGATTCAAGCTCATTAAGAGGCTCATCCACAAATCAGACACGTGTGATTTTTTTTTCTTTTATTAAGTTTATTGGTAAATTTTAGGTATACAATAGTTACATTCATCATTGGGATCTTGTACCTTTACATGATGTATCTTGGTTCTTATTTTTTTCCCATTCCCCTGCCCTCCCTTCACCCCTTCCACCCTTCCCTATATACAAAGACTTTGTTTCCATTTTTTCCTTTTCTCATGTTTTTTTCTTTTCCCCTCCCCCTCCTCCCCTTCTCCTTTAGACCTTTTCTTCCTATTTCAATTATCAATTACACATTTCAATCCTTATTTACACTTTTAGTTTTTCACACCAGAGAAACTATTCCGTATTTACACATATGTCTTATTTATTTCACTTAAAGAGTATGGCCTCCGGGCTGGGGATTTATCTCAGTGGTTTCGCTGCCTGCTGTGCAAGTGCAAGGACACGAGTTTGATCCCTGGTACCAAAAAAAAAAAAAGAGTATTGCCTCAATGTGCATCCATTTAGCTATAAATGTCTCTAGTTTCTCATTCTTTATGGCTGAGTAGTACTCCATTTTATTAAAAAAACACATCTTCTTTATCCAGTCTCCAGTTGATGGGGAATTGGACTGTTTCCAAGTTTTAACCATTACAAACTGTGCCGCTATAAACATGGGTGTGCACAGATCGCTGTGGTATGATTCTTTTAATTTTTTTGGGAAGATACCCAGCAGAGGAATAGCTGGGTCACGTGTGATTTTATAAATACTCAAAAGCAATCATACCTGAAATGAAAGCTAAGTTCTCAATGTCTGGGCCAGTACATAACCTTTACATTCTAGTCATGCTACAAATTTCTTACACTGACATAAAACTGTGGTACTTAAAAAACTTTGATACTGAATGAGGCCACATTTAGCTAGCTGGGCAAATAAATGAGACCAATAAAATGGTCTCTTAGAACAAGTCTTTGTAGGTAGCAAACTACCTTATTAATTTTCTGCAATGCTACAATTTTCTAACAACATAACCTAATTAACAATAGCATTTTATTTGGATCCCTCTAGGGTGGGAAATTCTTAGCCAGAGAACACAATTTTCTGCACTTATCTAAACCATGGGGTATCCATTAGCTTCACTGCCATCCAGGATAATGGAGATACTTGAGAAGCTTGCTTTCCACAGAGGAAATACCTCTTGAACACTTTTCTCTGGGAAAGGTGTGGAGGTGACACTGTTAGGTCTCCAACAACCACACTAAAGGCAGAAAGAAACGACTCACATAGGGAAACAATCAGAACATTGTCCAAAATGGGTCATATCTGTTATGAAGTCTGCTGGTAGTTTAGTACTTAAAGAGTATTTATTTCTCAAAAATACAGAGAAAATGCAATAGAAATGAACTACTTTCTTATACAAGCTAGACTCTGTTTTACACCTTGATTTCTCACCCTAAAGCACGGCAGAAAATAGACATAAGTATTCCTTTAATGGCCATGTCAGACTGGCAAGCTCAAGACCTATGTATTTCTGTTTTTGTTTTGTTTTGTTGTTGTTGTTTTTTTGAGGCAGGGTCTCACTCTGTAATTCAGGCTAGACTTGAACTCACTATGTAGCCCAGGCTGGCCTTGAACTTCAGGAGATTCTCCTGCCTCAGCCTCCTGAGTGCTAGGATTATAGGCGTGCACCACTATGCCCAGATGGACCTATGTATTTCTATATAAAGTGAGATAACTGAATCCCATTTCAGTTACTTTGCTTTTCTTTACATACTCTTTTCAACATCAACCCAAGATTCTATTCAAGACATAGGATTTGAATATCTGTATTATTGACTTTATTTAAGCTTTTCTATATATAAAGTATGAGTCACATTCATTTTATGACAGCTTATGTTTAGATATGATAGTCTTAATGTAAGTCTGTTAGATTATGTACTATATGCATCTAGCAATACTTTATCAATAGTATCAACTTTTAAGAAGTAAACTTTAAAGACTGAATTATCAGAGGAATATAAATGCTGATCATAGTCTATATAATTTCAAATACTAATTAACAATTCTTTGTAGAAAGAGCATAAAAGAAATGATTTTGTCTTTGGTCAGGTGCATGAATTATTTATAAAGTTACACAGTAGTCGGGCCGGGGATTTAGCTCACTGGTTCTGGCGCCTGCCTCGCAAGCGCAAGGTCCTGAGTTCGATCCCCGGTACCAAACAAAACAAAACACAGTAGTCAATGTGAACTATCAAATCTTAACACTTCCTTGCTCAAAATGCTTTCCATTACACTTACAGTAAGATCCAAAGTCCTTATCAGGTCACCACGGGCAGGCTCTTTCTCTTTCCCTGTGACATCATATTTTATCCTATCCAAACAGGCTCTTCCTCGATCATATTGTCCTTCCAATGTGCTATACTGTTTCTTCTTCAGGGGCTTTATTATGGTGGTTGTGCTGTCCTTCTTGGAATACTCTTCTTCAGTATTCTACTCTCATTTTACATGGTTGAGATGTTAACCTCTCAGATAATCCTTTATTGTGCCCTGCTTACCATCATTCTGTAACCCTAACCTGGTATAATATTTTTCATTCTTAGAATTTATCATTATTTGGGATTATTTTATTTTTGTTTATTTATTTATTTGGGTGTTTTTGATAAAGGGTCTCACTTTGTATTCCAGGCTGGCCTTGAACTCACTACTGTAGCCCAGGCTGGCCTCAAATTTGTGGTGATCCTCCTGTCTCAGCCTCCCAAATGCTGGGATTAAAGGTGTGCACTACCACGCCTGGTTTGTATATTTATGCCTCGTGTGAAAGTTTCATAAAGGCAGGAATAACTTTATTTTACTCACTGCTGTATCCCTAACATTCTGGAACACGAACAGCATCATAATTACTAATATTTACTGAATGCTTACTATGTGCCAAGCCTTATTTTCAGGTTGCTACTTTATTTATCTGCAGTGTTAGAGATTCCTCCCAACAAAATAAATAAATCAGGATAAGAGAAGTTAAGTAACTTGCCCAAGATGTAACCAGTGGTAAGTGGCAGAGTTAGGTTTTTGAACCAATGATTCCACAGCCTGGGCTCATTGCTGTTACATATTTTCATGCAAAGAATACCATTAAAATTTAAGAACAAAAATATTTATGATATATCCCAAGAAAATATGTGTATTAATAAATTAGAATAAAGGTAATTAAAAAGACAAAGTAATATGATTAATCTTTCTTTCTCTCTCCTTTCTTTTTTTTATGATGCTAGGGATTGAACCACGGACCTCATGAATGCTAAGCACATGGTCTACCACTGAGCTACATATATCTTCAGCCATGAATGATTTCTTTTTTTGGGGGGTACTGGGGATCAAACTCTGGACCTTGCACTTGCGAAGCTGGCGGCAGTGCTACGGAGTAAATCCCCAGCCCCATGAATGATTTCTTAAAGCTACATTTTAATCATCTCCTGGTATATTCTGCCATTTTAAATGTTTTACCCCAATAATAAAGATTATAAATTTTTCTAGATGTTCAGACTTAAAGAAATCAACACTAAAAATTTATATTCTGAGCACACAGCACAAGTACATTAAGTCACCAAATACATTTTCAAGTCAGAACCATTCAGTCAGAAAGAACAGCAGCTCTCTAACAACTGAAGATTACACCTGTGCAAATTGTTACAGCAGTCTGCAGCTATGCATCAGTGCACGTAGTAAAGTCAACACTTCCTCTAATAGGCTTGTAAGTTACAAAATGAATCTCTCTAATCTTCAGTTTATAACTTTCTGAATTTTAAGTGAATCTGAATTTGCTAAAAGCAAATTGACAGTACAACAAATAAGCCCAAGGCATGTATGCAGGATGGCTTTCTCCTTCAAATCTATAATAGAATTGAAAGCTTGCTAAAGCCCTTAAAGTGAAATCATACCTGCTGAATGGGACTTTGTGCCTGAAACAATATTCTTCGACCTAGTAGTTCTGCAAAGATACACCCGACAGACCAGATGTCAATAGCATTGCTGTAATGACGACTGCCCATCAGGATTTCCGGAGCCCGATAATACTGAGTAACAACTTCCTGAGTCATATGACGAGATTCATCTAGTTCTTCTACTCTGGCCAATCCAAAATCGCAAATCTAAATAGAAAAGACAATTAAAACATTGTTGATCAGACAAATACATTTAGAGATGGGAGAACAAAAACCGAAACACAAAAAACCCTGGTAGATCCCTGAACTTTGGTTATGTTTTTATTTTATTTTTATTATTTTGGTTTTTTGAGACAGGGTCTTGCTACGTAGGTCAGGCCAGCCTTGAACTCACTATGTAACCCAGGCTGGCCTTGAATTCATAGCAATCCTCCTGCCTCAGCCTCTGGGGTGGTGATGTGTGCCACCACGTCTTGCTGTCAAGTTTTTAACAATACAGGTAGAGTGTATTTGAATTAAGTATACAATCTGATCTTATCTGGCAAGCGAGAGAAAAGTCCCAAACTTTAATTTTTTTTATACAAAATGATGCTCTAGCTCATTTTTGATGTTTTCAGATAGGGTCTTGTTGTATAGTCCAGGATAGCTTTAAGCTCACTATGTAGACCAGCTGGCCTCAAACTTGCAATGAACCTGATCCTCAGCCTCCTGAGTGTGGGGATTACAGGTGTATATCACCATGCCCAGCAAAATGATGTTTTTTTTTTTTTTTGGGTACTGGGGATCGAACCCAGGACCTTGTGCTTGTGAGGCAGGCGCTGGAACCACTGAGCTAAATCCCTGACCAAAATGATGTATTTTAAAAATTTTCTCTTCTTAATCTGTTTTCAATTAAAAACAAAGAGAAAACCAAAATCCCAAAGCAAAGAAACAAAAACACCAAAAAACCTAACAGCGGAATGCATTTTCTGGGGTTAACATAAAGGCCAAACTGTCTATTTACAAGCTGGGCCTACAGAGGGAAGTAAAATAAAACAGCTACATCTTGAAGACCTCTTGAGTTGAGACTATGTTCACCATCTTTATGGTCTCTCTGTAGGCACGCACACACACACACACACACACACACACACACACACACACATTAAAAGTTGTTTCAAACCGAGCTTTGTTGAATCCAGTTCTCCTGAGGTACTTTAGGAGTTCCATAAACAATTTATCCAAACTTTACATCTATCTATTTAAAATACTAATCCACATTCAAACACGTGTATATGTCAAAATGCAGTACTCTGTGGAATACTATGCTACTAAGTCAATTAACTTCTTCATGCCATATTTACAAGTAACTGAGCACCTGTTATATTTTAGACAGTATCTGGAAACAGTGATAAGAAAGAAAAGACTAGCTGAATGTGTTGCTCAGTGGTAAAGTTTATGTTTAGCATATACAAAGTCCCAGGTTAAACATCAGTGCCAAAAAAAACCCCCACAAAAAAACAAAAAACCAGCCTGGTTAGTTTCTGTGCAGACCAATGGATAAATCTTTTCTTGTTATTTTTATGTAACTGAAAAGTTGGCTGAGATTGCAAGGTAACTGTTAATAAACTGCAGTAGGGCCACAGCAGCAAGTACTACTTATCTCTAGGCATTAAGATGTTCTTGATACTGGGCAACCAAAACAAACACCAGGAGCACTGAGGATGAGATCACATAGGGATGGCCATGTAAGTTCCAGGGTTCTGACTGATTATGTCAGTATCAGAAGTAAAGAAATAACATTTTAAGTGTTTTGTAAACTGAGGTACCAGAGTTAAGATGTTACTTGAAAAAGGGTTCTGGCAGATTTTTTAAAGTTTGAAAACCACTACTTTAAAGAAAACAAGGTTTACCCATAATTTTTGGCAATCTCTTTCAGACTAGAATCTATTATGTTTGGTCACATCAAACAGATACATATGTGCATGTGTCAATATGATGCCAACATCTTCAAAACTTAAGAATGAAGGGGCTGGGGATTTAGCTCAGTGGCGCCGCATCTGCCTCGTAAGCACAAGGTCCTGAGTTCGATCCCTGGTACCAAAAACAAAAAAACTTGAGAATGAAGGAAAAGAACTGGGTATTGTAGCTCAGCAGCACAGTGCCTGCCTGGCAAGTACGAGGCCCTGAGTTCGATTCCTGATACAAAAAAAAGAGCGAAGGAAAAATTTCTAAACAATACAGAAGAATCATATAACCACAAAAACTCACATTTATCATATCTTCCCAATGGCTAGTGTTCAAATAACACTTAAAAACTATCATATTAACCCAGGTGTGGTGGTGCACTGCTGTAATCCCAGCACTCAAGAGGCTGAGGCAGGAGGATCACTGCAAGTTCCAGGCCAGCCTGGGCTACAGAGTGAGTGAGTTCGTTCATTATGCACTACAAAGCAAGACCTTGTCTCAGAAAACAAAAAACAAGCACAAACAAGCACAGCACCTGCCTGGCAAGTGCAAGGCCCTGAGTTCTATTACTGGTACCAAACAAACAAAAACCTACCCAAAACAAAAACAAAAACTATCATACTGATAACAAGTTTTTAGAATACACACACACACACACAAACACACACACACACACACACACACACACACACACATATATTTAGTGCTGGGGAAGAATCCATGGTCGAGATATCTTTCAAAAGAAAACCAAAGGAAAAAACTTAAATCCTTTACTTATATATTTTTAAAAAACCCCAAACCCATTAAACCCATCCAACAAAGCATGTCTTCTGTTATAAAGCAAATTCTTTGTTTAAAAACATCAGTCTGATAGTGCACACCTGTGAGGCTGAGGCAGGAGGATCACCATAAGTTGGAGGCCAGCCTAGGCTACATAGTGAGTTCAAGGCCAGCTTGAGCTACTCTGTCTCAAAATAACAAAACAAAAGCATTAGTCTGAGCCAATCTTTTTGAGCAACTGAAGGGAAATTTGAGCCCAACTTAAGAAACTTAAAATGATGAAATAATTTAAAAGATATTGAGATTACCCAGTTTGTGCTTAATAGGAAACAAAATATATTCAAAGTATGAATGGAGACTAAAAGAAATGTTTTGTTATAGTTTTCCCTCAATAAACTGGTACATTTGAGAAGAGAGAATTTGTGTCTGTAACCTGGCTGTACTTTGGCTTTTTAAAAGCGGGACTAAGGATGAGTCAAAGGAACAGAGGAAAACTTCAATTAGTTCTGATTTGTGCCAGGTATTCAAAGTGACATATTCCTTTTGTTATCCATTATGTATCCAGAGTTTATAGGGCCAGGGATTTAGCTCAGTGGTGCCACCGCCTGCCTCATAAGCACAAGGTCTTGAGTTCGATCCCTGGTACCAAAAAAAAAGCAGTTTGGAGAGTTTATAATTCTGTAATAGATGATTTGGAAAATGGACTTCAAGCAGTTAATGGTATCAGGAATGACAGGCTCTGTAGAAAATCCTTTGTGAAGTCTTCCAACTAAGAACTCAAATAAGAAGAAACTGGCTTAAATTGTCCTAATACTGATATGAGTAAGACAAGACATTAACTGTAACATTTTCAATTTTTTAAAAAAAATTAAAATGAGTTACAGGCTCATCAAGAGTTAGGCAAGCTCTTTTCAAAAAGTAAAAAGTGGTAGGGAGGAGGAGGGACTCAAAGACCTTTGAAGGGGGCAATTAATTTCAGTGTAGAAACAAAAGAAATATTGGTTATTTTCAGGGAAAATATCAAAAACAAGTTTTTATGTCACTAGAGGTAAAACAAGGTCAGGGCTCTTCAAGGATATAATGAAAAATTTTCATTCATAAACAGTATAACCCATTGACTTGTAAAGAGAATTGGCCTACAGTTCAAAGAAAGCACTTAAAAAATGAAAGCTATACATTTGACTGTAAATGCTAACAACCTAAGTAATAACAATAGTCTTGATGACTTTTAAAGTAGGTAACATTTAAAAAATAGATTTTCCTTTTCAAATGTATCAGTTAAAATAATAAAAATAATTACTGTAGATTGAAGCACCATATAATACAATAGTCACTCGTGACATAAATCAGTTTTATTAGCTTATAGAGAGATGACACAGCTCTAGGAAGACCCTTATCTTTAATTTCGATGACGAGGAAAAATACAGTGGATTACTAACTATTCAGGAGTTCTGCCCATACATATCTGTTAGTAGAAGTAGAGAAATGTACATATGTAGATTTTGCTATTAGTGAGCCCATCTAACTAACAAGAAACAATGGGAAGTGGCACTACAGAGAGAAGTAAAATTGAAATAGATGATTTAGGGGCTACTAAATATAATTAGTACTGCAATCTATTCCTTTTAAGGGGGATAATTGAGAATTGGCTAGTCTACATTGTGGCAACACATCTGACAGGTGCATATGCCCCTTTTGTTTACCTAGCATTTTCTTTTTTTTCTTTTTTTGGTACCAGGGATTGAACTCAGGACCTTGAGCTTGCGAGGCAGGCGCCGGAACCACTGAGGTAAATCCCCGGCCCCCTAGCATTTTCACTTTTAAATATCTTTATGCTTCCCACTTTGCTACCTCAAGTATGAGGTATGATTTAAAAACACGGCGAAAGTTTAAACTTAAAAAAATTATTATAGTAAAAGGCAGATTGCCACCCTGGGCATGGTGGTGTATGCCTGTAATCCGAGCACTTGGGAAGCTTGGCAGGAAGATTACTGTAAGTTCAAGGCCTGGGGTACATAGTGAGACCATCTCAGAAAAAAAAAAGGTACATTGTCATGAATCTTCAAAATACTCCCTCTTACTTTGAATACACTTATCCTGTCATTTTTGCCACTGTCTGAAGCAATTCTGGAAGTCTTCTTTTGTGTTCTTAGTTGTGCTATTGTGGCTACCTGAATCAATTCAAATCATTTACATTTCATGGTCATCTTGACTTTAGGAAAGAGCTGGAAGTCACATGGTGCCATATCCAGTGAATAAGGTGAATGAAGACACACTGTAGCGTCTTTTGTTTTTTGGTACCTTGCGCTTGTGAGGCAGGCGGCAGAACCACTGAGCTAAATCCCTGGCCCTCACTGTAGTGTTTTTATGAACCTACCTTTCTGTTGGAAGGCACCTGGCAGCAACATCCACTGTATGTTTGCCCATATTCATAACGACATTCATAAAAGACAACTTCCAGAATTGCTTCATAAAGTGGCAAGAACAATGGGCTAAGTGTGGATAAGTGTGTTCACAGAAGGGGTATTAATGGCAATGTGTGTTTTACTTAAATACATTTTTAAATTTAAACATTCATTGTATTTTTTGATCACCCCTTTAGAAATGCTGACTGTGCAAAAATCCAGGCCAATTAATTTCTTAAAAAAGCATACTTCATTCTCATACAAATAAGAGCTAGTCTTCAAATAGTTCTTCTTATACTTCCTTTAATAATGGAACAACAAAAACCTCCCAAAACAACAAAAACCAATGTAACAATATGAAAAGATAACAGCTTCTGTATTCTTTCTAGTCATGTTTTAATTCTCATTTCCGTGTTTCCAAAACACAAAATATGTCAAAAACAGGAGTCAGGGCTGCAGTTTAGTTACGATGGCCATGACTAGTGATACTGCTAGAGAAAACTTGGTTCATTAATTTTAGTAAAGTAATGAAAATAAATTGTTCTTAAGCCTATCTTGGGCCTGACATTCTGATTTTTCCTTAGATCTTTAAATAAACTAAAGAATACCTTTAGAACACAGTTGCTGTTCACAAGGAGATTCCCTGGCTTAATGTCTCGATGTAAAATGCCAGCTGAATGCAGATATTTCAAACCTGAAATAAGAAGCAGATTTAATTGTAGGTATTTAATTTCCTTTTCTCAACCACTGATCTGGGAAAAACCTTAGAAGGAAAGAGAGCAGAGGATTTTAAATTGTTCTCTAAATAACTTCATAATGAATATTATTAAAAGGCTGACTTAGTCCCCACTCAAAAAACTGTAATTTTGCTGCAGTAAAATGTCATGAAAGGTTTGCATAGTCTGAAACGACGTCTATAATTTAAAAGATTACACAGGTTTAAGCATAGATAAGCTTCTTAGGCACTGAAGACTGACCATATGAATATCCTTCAACTGCTCATTAGTGTGGCTACTGGAGTCCTGCCATTGATACTCTCAACCTATGATTCTGAACCTGCTCCAACAAAACACTTTATATTAACCAACAGGGGACCATGCCCAGGAGATTCTTCATGGATATCATAAAATTCAGGAGCATGTCCAGGTTTGTTAGGAGCGTTCTTCACCACCAACAATCCAGAATGTAGTTCATCATTTTTTAATACTTTAAAAAATTTTTGGACCTTCATTGCTAAAAGTCACAGCTTGAAGGTTGAGCTAAAAAATGTAGCAAATCATAGTTTTCACAAGTGTAAAAAGTGCCAATAATCTTTCCATTTCCCCCTACCAGAGATAAATTTATTAGAAGTGAACATCCTAGTTTTAATATTGTTTAATGTGTTTTAATCCTTTTGGCAGATACTATTCAGACTCTCTAAAGGATCTTTTAATTCTATGAATTCTATGAAAAAAAATGTTATTTTACTAGATAATAAAGCTGTTTTACCTTTAAATAATTCTCCATTGGTAACAGCTAACTTCTAAAGGACACAGCTGATGGCCAGAGGCATAAATCATGCTAGCTCAAATCATTTCTCAGTCAAGTCGGTGCTCTTAAAGAGGAGGTCTGGAATTACTCAGCTGACTGTATCTATTGGTCTTCTCCATTTGATTTGGTTAAAACCAAAGGGTATTTTGTTTCTCTACAGTTGGACTCAGCTATTCCAGTCAATAGTCTGACAGACCCACCTACTGTTGGTTCGAAGAATGGACATCATCTATAGGACATAGTCACTATTTAATTTAGTCACTGAATGCCACACACTCCCATTCTGTGAAGAACTAATGCCTGTTTAGTGGATTTGTAACAAACCACTTTGCTTTTTTACCTTCCTAGATTAACCTCCTCAGCTGTCAGATGAATTTCACAAGTTCTTCCCTTCCATCACGAAAATAAGAATTATTTTTTTGGTCACCTTACAAATCTCTTATTTAACATCAAATACAACAATAATAAAATACACCTTAGTCCAGAGAAAAAAGGACTTTAGGGAAGAAGAATGCCTTGGAAGTCCAGATTAAAGTTCAAATAAAAAGCAAAACGTTTTATGTATGTCATGAGACTGTCTTTGTTTTCATAAAGAAAATCTTACCTCGCAAAATCTGATAAAGAAAAACTTTGACATGATCTGAGCTGAGTGGTTGAGGAGAGACGATAATTTTATGTAGGTCACTCTGCATCAATTCTGTGACAACATATCTTGAGGTTTTAAGTTAAGGAGAGTTCAGAGACTTCAGCCTCCAATTCCCTTTAAAGAATAACTTCCATTTTCAAGGCTGGATAAGCTTAAGGAAAGAAAGCTTCTAGACAGCATGACAGAGGTGACAATTCCAGCCTCCACAGAGAAAATATTGCCAAAGTTAAAAGTATGTACATGTTTAAAAGTTAGAAGTAAACAACCAAATTATTTTCTTATAATCAGCATTTATAAAAGAGAAAATATTTTCTTTAACAGCCAGGCCAGGAAAAATGTGAAGACCAAACAGTCTCAAGGTCTAGTAAGATATGCAACTAGATCATCCTTAATCCATCCAAACATCTCAAGGTCTATTACCCAGACATGTAACTAGAACATCTTTTGAATCCAAACAAAAAGAGGGGGTAGTAGTGGTGATCTCATCCTGGGTCACCTTAGAAAAAGATTACAACTCATCAATCAACTATGGTTTAAATTACAAAGTCTAACATCCCCAAAAATGTATAAAATGGTCAGCTCAAATCCAAGTCTCTCCATAATGCAAAGAACTTAATTCTTTTACTATTTAGCTTGTGTGGCCCAGGACCCCTTGGTTTCTAAAACAGCAGCCAGAATAAATTTTTCACTGGTTTATTTTTAATCTATACGTTTATACATAGAAAATGTAATGTTTAAAGGCTTCTATAATCCTAAATATTTTAATCTTAGGTTTTCTAAAGAAATCCATTTGCCTCATAATGAAAGATAAAATGTGATTTGGCTTATAGAATTTTTTATAGGACAATTTTCAGTGACAGCTCAGAATTATTCTATAAAATGATTCAAAGGATATTATCAAAGTTAAATTTGGTTTTTCCCCTTAATAGTTTTTATTCAACTTTGGTAAGAATTTTTAAACACCATTTGAAAGGATTAGTGACCACTGCTTAACTACCACTTAGATTCTATACTTATTATTTTGCCATATTAATCCTATTATACATTCACCCATTACTCTTTCCATCCATCAACTTATCTAATTTTTGGGATGCATTTCACAGAGTGATCTTTTAGGGTAAGGCCAAATTGTGTAACTTTTCTGCAAATCCTTTCCACTTCATTTTCAGTAAAAGTGTAAGTCCTTCAAATGGCCTTAGAGTTCATAAATAATCTGGTGTTTTTACTTCTCTGACAGCCTTTCCTATCACCTTCCTCAGGGCTGTTCTCTGGACATACTAAACACACTCCAGTCTGAAGTCTTTGCTATAGTGGTTCCCTGTGCATGGATTGTACTTCCCAATACTTTCCTAACTCTTATCTTTCAAATGATGCCTAACTGGACCAATCCCCATCCAACTTCTACCTCTTTGCATAGTTCTGTCTTCTTTTTCCTTTAGTACTTATCATCCTATGTAACTTACTCATTATGTTTACTGTCTTTTGTAAACCCTCATCCATGAAGGCAAGGGCTTTTGTCTATTCTCTTCACAAATCTATTCCAAACTCTCAGAACAGTACCTGTATATACTAAGTGCCTAGTAGGCACCAGGTGTACTACTAAATGTCTTAAATGTCATCTCATGTATAATTTATGGCAACCCTACAAGGTTGGGTTCACAGATGAGGAAGCAGGCTGACACTGTCCTACGGGACTGCATAATCTTTAATGTTAAGTGGTTATTTAGTATTCCTTTTCATGTACTACATCATGAGTTGAGCACCCCTTATCATTGGGTGTTTAGGCTATTACCGTTTCAGCATAATGTAGTTCTCTGTGGAGCTCTTAGAGCTTTATGGTATTGCTACATGAGACAACTTCAATTATGCATAAATTCTTTCTCAGGTTAATCCATTTCTCCAGAAAAGCGCCCTCTAATCTTGTGCCATAGGAGGTACAGGTCAGGCTGCCATAGATCTATGTGAGTGAGTCTAGGAGTCAGAGCCAGAGATACCATAGCTAACCATGTTGTCTTCAAAAACAAACCTTTGGTCTCTTGCAGGGAAGGGGAAGATTAGGTCATCTTAATTCTTCTTACATAGGCTTATAACCAATCTTGTGTTTAGATATACCTGCTTCCCTACTTTCTGAGATACTTGATGCCTCCAATTCCTAAGGCTTTTTGATGTCCTACAACAAGAATCAACCTGTCTCTGGGTGCACGCCACTGCCAGTTTAGATTTCTGCCTCTTCTCTGAATTTTTAACACTTTATTGACATTGTGCTCTACCAATTTTGTTTTCAGGTTGAAATCATTTACATGTTTATTGGCCACATGTATGTGTGAGCATGAGAGATAGAAAAAGAAGAAAAGTGAGAGCAAGGGCAAACTGTTTCTGTCCTTTGCTTAATTTTCTACTGGGGAGGTAATTATTACTTGTAAGGCTGCTTCCATTATGAAGGATATTAATCCTCTTATATATACCGAATCCCTGCAATCTCAATCACAGGATAAAGACAGAAAAAACATTCCTATTTGCACCAGTAAGTCTTAATCAGAAGTCTCAATATTCTCCTCCCCCTATTCCCACCTGGTACTGGCGACTGAACCCAGGGAGCACTGAGACACATCCCAACCTCCTCCCCTCACTTTGAGACAGTGTCTCGCTATGTAGTTCAGGCTGGTTTCAAACTTATGGCAATTCTCCTTCCTCAGTCTCCTGAGTGCTGGGATATAGGAATGAACCACCATATCTCAATATTCTTGAGTTATACTGATTCTAGAACTCTTAAGGGACAAGGGCCAGGGATGTAGCTCAGTGGCACTGTGCCTGCCTGGTAAGCTCAAGGTCCTGAGTTCGATCACTGGTATGGGGCTGGAGGAGGAGATCTTAAGAGACAAAAGCAAAGGAACATTACATTGGAAAAAACACAACAACAAAACCAGAAGAACTTCACAACTCCCATTATTATATTAAGTGCTGATCCCATGGTCTGAATATTTGTATCCTCCCAAAATTCATACGTTTAAATCATAATTCCTAAAATGATAGTATTAGGAGGTAGGGGTCTTTGGGAGGTGATTAGGTTACAAGATCAGAGCCCTCATGAATGGATCATGCTCCTATAAGAGCCACAAGAGAGCTTGTTACTCCTATCTAACATCTTTTTTTGAGACAGGGTTTTGCTATGTAGTTCAGACTGGCCTTGAATTCAGTATGCAGGCCAGGCTGGCCTCCAACTCACAGCAAACCTCTTTCCTCAGCCTTCTGAGTGTTGGGATTATAGGTGTGCACCATGCCCAGCTCCTTCTACTATTTTAGGTTACAGCAAAAAGACTATATGAACCAAGAAATGGGCCCTCAGCAGACAACAAATCTGGTATCATCTTAATTTTGGACTTCCCAGCCTCCTGCACTCCAAGAAATGAATTTGTCATTTATAAACTAGTGTATAATATTTTTTTGTAGCACTCCAAATGGACTATGACAGTTGTCAACTTGGAAGTTTTATCTGGGAAAAAACAGTCCTACAGAAAGAGAGTACAAAAGAAGCACTTATCTGCATGGGATGTCAGTCATGTCTGCTGAGTTTATTGACAATTTTTTTGCTCCTGCCAGCACTGAAAAGTTTTTGCATGGTTATGAAGAGCAGGCTATATTCTATTCTGCCTCATATTTCTACAAAACTGGCAGCCAAGTTGTGATGCCAGGATCTTTAGCGTTAGTAGTGACAGTTGGTATGCATGCAAGCAGCAGAGAGAAAACATCTTAATTTTCAAGTTATCAGGTTGAATTCAGAGTGCTGACACTTGGAAAATCTTGCTTTGACTTATAAAAGGAACAAATTGGTACAAAAGCCAAAAACAGAATAAGTATGAAATAATGTTGTATGTTTTCTTCTAACAGTGACTTCATTTTCAAAGAAAGGGGAAAAAGGAAACTTTGGAATAGGCATTATTCTACTTTATAACTAGTTACTCACTTCAGAAAAAAATTTTACATTTTATTTGGCACTATAAAACATATCAGGCCAGGATGTTGGTCACCCTTAGACCTAACGAATGTGAACTGACAAACTAGACTACTTTTTGTTTTGACCAACTATAGTTTCATATGGTCAACCTAACACAAAGTATTATCAAGTATCAAAAAATTTAGTAAGGTTTTCATAATCAATATAGAGTATGCTTTTGAATACGTCAATTCCTCCATACTAAAACCACATACACATGTACATAATTTCTCGCAAAATATAAACCAGCAAGTATTTCCTCTACTAAACACAAATGACTGTATCACCATTGTTTTCAGGATCTATAAACTTGAAAAACCTTTCACTGAATCTTCTATTAAAGTATTCAAGAAAACAGAGTTTAAAAGAATGCTACTTTCAGGCTAGGGATTTAGCTTAGTGGCAGAGGACCTGCCTGGCAAGTGTGAGGTACTGAGTTCGATCCCTGGTACCAAAAAAAAAAAAAAGAATGCTACTTTCATATATCTCTGTTTTAGAAGATGACAGGTTGAGTTAAAAAAGAAAAGAGGCAGGGGATTTAGCTCAGTGGTTCTGCCGCTTGCTTTGCAAGCACAAAGACCAGAGTTCGATCCCCAGGACCAAAAAAAAAAAAAAAAAAGTAACTAAAAAAGAAATGAGGCAAGTAAATAAACTAAGTCAAAAAGTCTAGGGCAAAAACACATAGAACACTTCACCTTTCCATTTTCTGTTTAACTTTGTGCAGAAATGCTCTTTTTCTGTTAATAGCGTCTAAACACAAAAGACTGAAGACATTCTAAATACAAGATTTTTTTAAACAAAGTAATTAAAATAGCCTCTTTGCTGAGACTAAATTTTGATATGCTTTAGTTCTACAAAGTAAATTCTTAGGGGAAATATGTTTTTTACTACAGGAATACAACAGCTTTTTCTTCACAGAAAACAACCTAACAACCAGGCCAATCTTTTAAAATTTTCTTTGGAAAATATAATTTCTGAATTTTAAAATTTAACACTAAATCTGCAAAAATTTAGAGGCCCATATACCACTTTATAATAAGGTTTCTGCTTTGCTCTAGCAGAAATCCTCTG